TACAGGGTCCGACATTAATAATTTTGTAAAACCAGAAAATGTTTTTCTGTTTTATTCAAACTACAGCATACTTTCCTATTCACAAGGTAAAATGTTTTGGAGTGCTGAAACACTTGAAATTTATAACAATAAGTCAAACATTGTTATAATCGTAAGGTGCACAATGTACTTGTGCATTGCAGTCCCACCAAAGGACATTCACTGGTATGTCTCAAAATTCCACTTCCATCTCCACTTAAATTCCTTTGAGAAGACAACCAAAGACAGTAGTTTGTGAGTTGATCATTGGAAACATTTTCACTGATCTCTTGCAAAATTCCACCTCACAGAATGGTTTTGTTTCTTCTTTTGTTTAAAATTTAAAAGCTGAACCTTCAGTGATAGGATGAAGTCATAGGACCTGAATGGTGTATAGAAAATTTGGCAGATACAGTAAAAGGATAATCGATGAAAATTTGGCAGACTGCTAAAGATTTAGTTTGACCCCCATGTACATCTAGATGTTGCTTGGTGTACAAGCTCTTTGTCTCTCTATCCACCCCGAGTTGAAGTGCACCCCCAAGCGGCAAAAGAAAGACAAATGGTTGTAAGTTTTCCAAGCAGGTTCTTGTACGCGTTCTGCGTGTAGACAGAGAATATACATTAAGGAATAAATTTGTTACGTGTACTCAGTGTGCTCCATGTCAAACATGCCATTGATCTCCATTATAAACGCATGCTTATGCAGTGGGTACCCAAAAAACGTGCCCTCTTTTGTTGTGCTCTGAGCAGATTCTGGTGCAAGAATTTCTTCAGAACGTTCTGTCACTGAATTTCTTACTTCAGTCAAAATAACCTTCTTGAATCCCTAATTTATTTCTCAGCTGCTTGTGAGTTTGGCAGCTAAATGGCTTCTTGTAAGAATTTGTTGGAGACCCTTGTCATTTCAATCATAACTCTACTGTACACCTGGGACAATATAATTGTTGAACCTTACAATTCCTCCCATCAATAACATGCCCTAAACCGATCCCCTCTGTTAAAATGTAGGGAAAGATGTGTCGTAAACTCCAACAGGCATCATCATTTTTAATTTTTGTCCTTTCCTTTTTCCTATTATCTCCTCCACTTCTAGCACAAGTAGTCATTTTATTTTGGGGGGGTCTGCAGGGAAATTTTTTTCCTATTTTGGGGGGTCACATATGCCAGCTCAAAAAAGATTTCAATTTCATGTTTAAATTCTCCCTAAATTCATAATCCATGGATTTTGCTGTTTCAAGCCTGGCTTATTAGCCATGCCCGGCAAGTATACTTTACCAGTTCTCAACCTGAAAACTGACTTTACTGCATTCTAGGGAGACAGAAACCAGTTGTTGCCGGGTCCCTGGGCCCATACGGTGCCAGCCAACACAACTTCTCGGAATACAGCGGTGTGTACGCAGACACGAAAACAAAAGAGGTACAATATATGTCCTTTTAGTTCAAATCTTGCTATGCACTTCAACAACACCAACTAGCATAGACCGATACTGGACTCAGACTCAAGAAATCAAAGACTCACTCTCAAAACATTGGAGTTGGACTTGGGTCTGAAAGGTGGGCTTTTGACTTTGACAAAGGTGGACTTAACTACAGCACTGTACAAACTGTTGTGTAATATTTGTCTTCTCTAAATGTCCTAGAAATCATTTTATGGCCTGGTCACAAGAACAAAGTTGACAGCATACATGTACATGATCGTCAGACACTGTTAGCACATATCCAAAACTGCTCTGCATGACCAAATTTTAGGAATTTGCAAAAGAGGAACATTGAAAATGGTGTTGAAATTTCTTCCCTAACGACCTTGAACACTTATGCAGAAACCTCCTCAATTCTCAAGATTCCATTCAATCCACAGGATCCTGGTGTTGTAAGGGGCACCAAGCTGTGAAGGTCTATCTTCTTCAACCCTTCAAAATCCTAAAAAAAAGATTGTAATTTGTTTCCACAAATTACAATCTTTTTATTGGTTATTGTCAATCATTTTTATGGTTCTCATCACAGGATTCTTTGACTAGTGTTCTCTTGATGGTTTTCTTGGTTTTAAGTCCTGACTCTTTCAACACATCCTTTTAATTGCTGTTTGAACTGCTGGCAACTAAATTGAAATTCTTACTCCAGGAACTGAAGGAATGGCACAGGCCACATCTGGAGGCTTTGGTGAGGTCTGGTGTGGAGCTCATCGCCATAGAGACCATCCCATGCCAAATTGAGGCTGAAGCTCTCGTGGAGCTACTCAAAGAGTTTCCTGACACCAAAGCCTGGCTCAGTTACTCTGTAAAGGTGGGTACTTGTATATATCTTGTAGAAATATTGCAGCGCCAGCCAAACCCTGGTCATCGCAATTCATTCAGGGCCTACATTCCAATGCTGAATTTTGATACAAGAGTTTAACTTTCAGTGCAAGTGTCATATTCTGAGCTCTGTTCACTTTTGCTCTCTAACAACTTGTGGAAAAAACTTGCTGGCTCATTAATACTTGAATGCATGACCTGAATACTACTTCAGAAATCTTGATTATCCCAAAGAAGCTTGACTGTCTTTTGGTCCTTGTATGCTGTCTATTGTTACTCCCAGGATGGTTAATGCTGTCTTGTTTAAGCTATCTGAATGAACTTACGCTGAATCGCATTTCATCATCAAGTGTGAACAGAAATGTAATTGAGGGCTGTTGTAAAGAGTTAATACATCCTAACATGATCCCAAAAGTGTTGTTCCTGAAAGAGAATTTGAATAAGTGGAGAGACCAGCACAAATTAAACTCATTTGCATGAATTACCTGTGGGTGGGTTGCTTATACATGACATTACATGTACATGTGTATTTTCCCAAGTTCCTCTTCAAACAATCACTTCGCTCTTGCTATCTGTGTACACAGGCATGGCTATTGGGTTAATGTGAAACAAACCTCAACCAATCACTGCTATTTGTTTTGCACACACATCATTCAAAAGTCTGAGAAGTTTAGGGAGGCAGGCCATGTGTTGACCTTGAACTTGGCCACTGTGTGTGGCCAGTTGTGTTAGCAGGCACTTCCTCAGCACGTTGGAAAATATGAGGTTAATGATACTGTCTGCAAGAAGTTAATTAAAAAGGCCCCCAAAAGGGACAAACTTTGGGGTAGACATGTCCTCTTGACCCACCCTCTTCTCCCACGTACAGTTGTTCCATTTCTCAAAACAAGCCTACATGTCCCTGCCAACCAGAGATATTGTCTTTGGCAACGAATCTGTTCTTTAACCACTGTTATTCGATGCAGTCTGGGGTTTAATAATGTTCCCTCGGTATTTAACAACTATAGACTACCAAAGTTAATACATCATGCATACAATATGTTTGTAAAAGCATGGGTCCCCTCCTTCCTCCATGGTAAAAGGCATTAGCTCCAAAACCCCAGCATAAACCAACACCCATGTGTGTGCAAAGCGTAAGGTCATCTTGGACCAGGAAATGTAGTGCAAACGAATGCACTACATGTTTGCACTACATTTCCTGGTCCAAGATGACCTTACACTTTGTCACTCTATAGAAGTTTTTCAGTCAACATGGTTTTCGGTAAGGTTAGCATTAAGTGTACGCTCTTGTCTGCAGAAATGGACTTACCTTCAAAGTCTCTCGACTTGCATCAATTCTAGCGTACATGAAATTGCCAATACGAATGCATAGATTTGGAAAATTCAATCATGCTGTAACCACTGACATTGCATATGATGTGCCTCACTGGACCACAGGTCCTCACTTTCAATATGGCCATATGACTAGCATTGTATGTTAATTGACCGTTAAAATTTGATACTGCATTAAGCCTAGTATTTCTACTACTACTGATTTTTTTTCAAGCATTACATCAGCAAATTCAATCTGCTGAAAATCTCAATGTACTTTACAGTGAACAGTCCTTGATGACATGCAGTCATATGCAAATTCTTTATAAGGATGGACACAAACACCAGCAAACGTGGGTCATGTTCAGATGTGCCACCTGTCTGCATCCAATTGTCAGAGTAGACCCATACCGCAAACACACACATACACACCCTGGCACGTCTCACTACAGTCTACCTCATGATACATTACATGCCTTTTTTACAACACTATTGAAACTAGGCTTTACACCATTGACAGAAATATTTTGCCTACTTTAAACCCTGTGGACATGATGGAACAAGGTGACATGTACTTTTATATTTTACATGTAATTGAAGTGTACCCCTTTGATTAAGTAAAACAAAGTATTGAAACAAGAATGAAAAATGTGAGGCATGTTTTCCAATCTCTATGATACTGAGTATACAGACCACAGCCTTTTTCTTCATTTGAAGGACAACCAGTATATTTGGCACGGTGAGACATTTGTTGATGGTGTCAGGGCAGTGGTTGATTCCGAGCAGATAGTCGCCGTAGGCTGCAACTGTTGCAACCCAAGCAACGTGGCCTCACTCCTAGAGAGAGCCAAGAGTGTTGTTGGGGACAAGCCGTTTGTCGTCTACCCGGACAAAAGGAAGGAGTTCTTTGACGGCAGGTATATATTGGTTACAGATTCCGTCAAAAGGAGCAATGTGTGAGGCTACGGGTGGATCTGAAGAAAGTGTTTCAGGGGACATCATTCCCTGCCAAATCTTGAAAATTGGGGTTCCTCCCATGTGACCTGACCCAGATATGCCTGACAAAATCCCTAAAGATCTTTCCGAACCAAACAAAGGAAAGTAACATCTCAGCTTGATGCCTTAAATATCAACATTCTTGTGAAAGCCTTTGAAAGTTTGGATGCTGTGGCCTAGATTTTGGAGTCATTTGAGAACTTTTGTCAGTAATATGTTCTTGCTCCCACCATTACTTCATTAACCATATGCTGTCAGGTTTAATTTGAAGTTGCGAGACGCATACCCGGGAGATTTTCAAGTTTTCCATTTTCAAAATTCTTCAAAATTTCAAAACTTCATTTACATCCACGCAAATGACTGTCTCTAATCTGACAGACATCTATTGACGCCCGAGTATTTCAACCAAATGTCTTTTATATGAATATTTTGATTTTCTATAGATATTTACCCATTATTCCTCCTTGCATGCAGCCATTGTTTGGCATGCACAAGGGTTTATCCACTACGAACACAGAGCGAGGGTTCCCCAGGTTTTCTCTGTTTTCTCCAAATGACACAATCTAAACTTGGAATTCACATTTTTAGCTTGTTATAGTTGAGTTGGTAGGGAGTGTTCACACTTAACGTGTGCATTTCGTAGTCATTCACAAGCTAGCGTAGTGCAGTTCCCAACAAAGGAGGGCTCTCTTGCTAGGAAAATTGCACCCTCTCTAGGTCGCATGCAGCTGGGCCCATTGCGTTAAAGTGATTGTTCTACTGTCTTTACAGTAGCACTTCATTACCTTTCTTTGTTGCACAGGACATCAGCCAGCAGCATGTGGCTTCACACATTGCTGAATCTTTAAGAGAGATCCTCCTGGGATTAAAACATTTGACTTTCAAGCTTTAGTATGAACATGTCCTCGGATAACACACCAAAACTTCTTGTTTTTCTGTTTTTCTAGGAAACTTGGGGAATACCAAGTGCCTGACTTAGAGAGGCTGGTGACCAGCTGGATTGAGCTGGGAGCACGCTACGTTGGGGGCTGCTGTCACACCAGGCCAGAAGATGTACGTAAAATTGCAGAAGTTGTCAGGAAGTACAACTCGTCACACTAGATTGTAAAACTTCATCACTTGTAAGAAACACCCTCTAGCTATTTGGGCATACTTTAAGGGCGTTTGCATTGCTTGGGAGACTGTTTAGCTTTCCTTCGTTTCACATTGAGCAGGTTAAATTTCTGCAGAAGACAAGTCACTGCAAGTGGACAATTCTGTGATTAGCTAATAGATCATAGGCTGACACGCCGAAGTAGTGACTGTATCTGGATGGCTTTTGGCCTTGTATTCACTCAAAAGGATTTAATTAATGCTATGGTGAATCCAGAATGTAGCCTTGCAGTGACTCTGGTGATCTTGCTGACAGTGGTGTGCCGCTGAATCCCTTTGAAGTGGTTCCCCGTAAAGAACCGTTTCGAAAGTGGAAAGAATTCCTCGGTATTGAAGAACAATCACCCCCAAGGACCAGAGATTCAGAGATGGGAGTCACTCCATAGAGCTGGATATAGTTACTAAAGCATTAGTAAAGCTGGGTAGAACAAATACTGCAGGGATTTTTTGTTAAAAACCATGGATGTGCTCAATAAATGAGCTTTTTCTTTCATCACTGTCAACAAGGAAGCTGGTTCATATATGCGCTGCAGATGAATTTGCTGAGACTTTGCAGCATACTACTGATTGAATACGCAAACGTGTTATTCGCATGTGCTTTGCTTAGACATTGCATTTACTTAGCGTAGAAATTCAGAATTTGTTTATGTTCTCCAAACACATGCAAGCATGAATTTAAAATGTCTATACTCTGGATGACTTCCTTCACTCAAAATGAGTTACTGCTGTAGTCATTTCATATAACTTCACAACTCAGTCCAAAAAGTAGGATTGACACACTTGTCTTTAGAAACTGGGGCCACTGTCATGGAAACCCGTGAGTCTCTAGCTCTAACACCTGACCTTAAACAAAGACACTTGTGACACGCTACATACTAATGACACCCATTGTTTACCTGTACATGATCTATCGAGCTTTCACATGAAAGTGCTCAGGGAAAAAAGGGGCGACGTCATTATGTCTTTTGGAAGTCATGGGTATTGACATGACTGGACATTTGTGTTTGTCAACACATCGTTATTGTCTTATTTTACTCCGCTAATGAACCCACATTGTGCAATTTAGTTTGCAGCTGAAATAATCCAAGGGATTTTGTTCTTGTCCTGTGTATGACCACAACACGTGGTCAATCTGTTGTGTTTGTGTGATTCATCTCTCATCACAGCAGATCTATGAATAGAAATGACCCCTTGATGTGTTTATACAGATGTCTGACATGTTTCAAGTATTTTTATGTAGTTGTAATAGGAATTACATTGAAAAATGAACAAGAGAGATTCACCTTCTGTTTGCTTATAACAGTTTTATTACACATAATAGCCCAGACCTTTCTCAGCCTTTATCGTCATTTTCCCATCAGAAAAAAAGGTTTAAAAAGAGTTAAATATATTCCTATTTTTAAATGTTGAGTTCTTGAGAATATTGCAAATTTGAACTGGCAATTAAGCAACAAATACATATCAGTGGAGAAGAAAAAGTGTTGACTCATTCAATCATTTCAATCAAAAGCATTCCAGTATTGAAATGCTCGCTCTGTTCTTTTTGAAAAATGTCTCTTGACTTCATTCATGCAAACTATTCTACATGCAGGGGTGTGAGTGGCCACTTGAAATAAAAGCTGAAAACAGCAAAAAGTTTCCCCATTACTGATAATACAAGGTAACCATTATAACAAGGTAATGAAGGACCTTGCTATAATAGTGTTCCACTACTGTTGAAATGGTTGTAACAGCAGCTGAATCTTTTGGCAATAAATACTGAAATTCATAGTGGCAATATTGGTTTATAGGAAAATTTGCCGGCCAATGAAGAAAAAACTCTTTTTAACAAATCATGCAATATTAATGATTAAACATGTAACTTCGTTAATGCTACTTTTTGTCCCTCGTTATCTTCAAAAACATACAAAACATACACGTGTGTAAAAGCTTTTAATGAACCGAAGAATGACAACGGGCAGTTACCTTGTTTACACTTGTTTATAACAAAAAGAATACTTTATTAATTTACAGGATTATTTTAACAGTGGCCAGGTATTTCAGTGCGAGTACAAGCATAATTCACCTAAATTATGAATAAACCTCGATGGACGCAGTAATTATGCCTACATGTATGGCCTTGTTTGTGCATGTTCTCAACTTTGCTGAATACAGTGTAGCTGTTGTCAAAGCATCTTTCTGAATGCTCTTTAAATAAACTTTAAAAAATTTATATTTCCAATCTGCAGCATATTTAGAGGATTCAGGATTTCAATCCTGAATTTGAGACCTTTATATCTTAAGTTTAAACAAATCTGGACTTTTTGCCCTCGTGGAGAAATCACAGTGGCTGCTTAGAGTGGGTGAGATTTGGGGGGGGTGGATTGAGGCTGTTTTGTTGAATAAACTCACAGTCAAGGGCTCCATCACAAGACAAAGACAATAGTTGGTACACACTGATTCGCCAGAAGTTAAAGTTCCACCAACAATGCTCTGCACTCCTCACAAAGTGCCACTTCAGTGAGCTGAGAATCATCAGGGGCAAGGGAGCGCTAGTTCTGCAG